GTCCCCCTCCTGTCACACATCTAGACACACACAGGCAGTGTATACACACATCTAGACACACACAGGCAGTGTATACACACATATAGACACACACAGGCAGTGTATACACACATATAGACACACACAGGCAGTATATACACACATATAGACACACACAGGCAGTATATACACACACACCAACAGGCAGTATACACACACACACACACCTACAGGCAGTATACACACACACACACCAACAGGTAGTAGATACACACACACACCAACAGGTAGTAGATACACACACACACCAACAGGCAGTATATACACACACCCATCAACAGGCAGTATACACACACACACACAGGCAGTATATACACACACACACCAACAGGCAGTATATACACACACACTCACACACCAACAGGTAGTATATACACACCCATCAACAGGCAGTATACACACACACACCAACAGGCAGTATACACACACACACACCAACAGGTAGTATATACACACACCCATCAACAGGCAGTATATATATACACACTCACACACCAATCAACAGGCAGTATACACACACACACACCAACAGGTAGTATATACACACACCAATCAACAGGCAGTATATATACACACACTCACACACCAACAGGTAGTATATACACACACCCATCAACAGGCAGTATACACACACACACCAACAGGCAGTATAAACACACACCAATCAACAGGCAGTATATACACACACACACCAACAGGTAGTACTGTATATACACACACCCATCAACAGGCAGTATATATATACACACACACACACACCAACAGGCAATATATACACACACCAATCAACAGGCAGTATACACACACATACACCAACAGGTAGTACTGTATATACACACACCCATCAACAGGCAGTATATATACACACACACACCAACAGGCAGTATACACACACACCAACAGGCAGTATATACACACACACCAACAGGCAGTATACACACACACACACCAACAGGCAGTATACACACACACACACACACACCAACAGGCAATATATACACACACCCATCAACAGGCAGTATATACACACACACACCAACAGGCAGTATACACACACACACACCAACAGGCAGTATACACACACACACACCAACAGGCAGTATATATACACACACCCACCAACAGGCAGTATATATACACACCCACACACAGGCAGTATATTCACACACACCAACACACAGGCAGTATATATACACACACACCC